AAGCACTGTTGATTATAAAAATCTCAACACAATTCTTTTGTTTGTTTAAAAGGTGTCGTTAAACTTTTCTCATGTGGTGGAATACGCACTTATATAGGATGAATGGGATAATGAAAAAATTGTGAGCATCACTAATAGAGTTGAAAGAATAATCATTCAGCTGTTCTTTTAATTTCGTGTTAATATTAAATTATATCAAAAAAAATTTAATTATTATTTTGTTATTTATCAATTTCAGTTAAAAATTAATCAATCTCTTTGTAGTACTCTCTCCGATCCTTAATATAAGGCATTTGATTTGTCCTAGGTTTCACCTAGTACACATTTTTAATTGACGAAAAAATCTTAAAAATATATTTTCACATTCGTTATATTCTCTTAATTTTTAGGAAATATTTTTAATTTTTTTCGATTAAAAATACATACTATGTTAAATTTAGGACAAATCAAAATACCTTATATTAAGGACCAGAGGGAGTAAAACATAAAACATAAGATAAGTTTTCGCAAAGCCTAGATCTTAAACCTCAATTTCTAACGAAATTGAGAGAATATACCTTGGGTCGTTGTCGAAATTGTGATAGAGTAGTTTGAAAAATAGGGAAAAGTCAAGAGTTGCGACAAAAGGACAAAGAAAACGAGGAGGGTCACGAGATTTGTTGACTTTGACTCATTTGCAATTAGATTTTTAGAAAAAATAGGAGAGTTTCTGCATGCACACTTGTCTAACCTGCCATACACGGTGGTTTGACTCTGACTCAGTGTGCTCCTCATGTCAATAACCAAATGGTGGGTTGTTAATTGTAAATTTATAAATTGGTTTTCTTGTTATGGTCTTTAATTTTATTTTTTTACCATTTTTTTGTCAGAAATAATTGTTTAATTAAAATTTCTTATTTTTAGTATAATTAAAAATTATACAGCACAATCATTTAGAATAGAGAGAGTATTTTCTAACGTCTAATATTATTCTCTCTCTTCTTTTAAATAAAGTTACATTTATAAAATACATGGAAAAATTTTCTACTAACCTTGGACCAAGAAATTTGTGCTCAATATGGTCAATACTTGAGATTCTCTCTTCTTTCATTTTTCTTGTTTTCTGATAGGAATGAAAAATAAGTGTATCATATCTGTAATAATAGAATAATAGGAACAACAGTAACATTTTAAAAAAAGTTATAATCTCTAATACATTATTTTCTTAAAAGATATTCTCCATTGTACAACTGATCCTCTGTAATACATTCTAATTGCTTCATATAGATTCTATAGTTTATGCAGTTTATCTATCAAGTAATCATATTCTAATGTCGATAGTTTTATATATATAAATATTGTATTCATTTTTTTTTCATTTTTAATAAAATTTAATAGATTTTTTTTAATTTTTTTTTTCGAACAACAGAATTCAAATAATTTGGACCAAACAGAAAAAATGAATTATTAACTAGTTCCAAAATATATTCATAGATTTTTAACAGAATAAACAGAAATACAAAAAACAACATTCATACAATTACTTGAAATATGTACTCCCTTCATTCTAAAATAAGTGTCGTTTTAGCAAAATAGAGAAATTCCAAAATAAGTGTCATTCTCACATTTCAATGCACTTTTTGTCAAAAGTTTCTAAAATTACCCTCAAAAGAGTTGATGCTATTGGTGGACAATTTTATAATATGGTTGGTTGAGGATATTCAAGTAATTTTATTACCCTATTTAAGAGTTTCTTAAACTATGTGCAAAATGTAGGACGATAATTATTTTGGAATGGAGGGAGTAATATGTTGTGTAACAAAAAATTAAGACAGAGTATCTTGTATTGTCGGTACACTCCCTTCAGCAGGTCAAACTTCTACTATGAGATATTGATTATATATAATCATATTTGGCACCTTTATATTAAATCTTACCCATAAATTTCCTATTTTATCCTACCTCATTAATTATGATTCAAATGGAAATCTAAAAATATTTATGGTCAAATTTAAATTATGAAAATTTTCAACGTCATTAGTCAATGGTATATATTAGGACAATCAACTTCATTTTTCAATAAAAATCAAATATTATTACAAACAAAAAAATCCGAATTCAGGTTGTAAATAATAATGAGATATACAAGGGAAACCCTTTTAACGGTTATGTGTATTCAGTCACAACTATCTAAATTTACACATCACTTGGGTGAATGAGTGTATACATCCCAACGCTTATTCCATTGTGCTAATTCATCCCAACGTTGTAAAATTGATCAATTACGTCCCAAGGTTATCAAAATTGAGCAGATACATCCCATGACTTGCAAAACATAAAAAATGACCTGATATAACAGGTAAAAATCTATTGGATCTCATATTTATTATTTTTTTCTGATTTTTTTTTTATTTTTTGGTACTTTTTAGTTCATTAAAAAACAAACTAAATTTCTATATTAAAAAAACTCAAAAAAACTTAATTAATCAAAATAATTTATGAATCACAAATGAAATAATTTATAATTTTTAGTTTCTCCATTTATAAATGTTGTTTTTGTTTCAATAAACTAAAAAAAGTTTTAAAAACTCAAAAAAACAGAAGTAAAAATGTTAAATATGGGATCCAAATGATTTTACCTGTTATACCAAATCACTTTTGTTGGTTTGCAGGTCATGGGATGGATCTGCTCAATTTTGATAACTTTGAGACGTAATTAACCAATTCTAAAACTTTGGGATGAATTCGCTAGTAGGGAATAAACGTTGGGATGTATACACTAATATTCCCTCACTTTTAAAGTCACTGATAATTTAGATTCAGTTTTCAGCCAAGTAATTTCGTATGAATTTTTGTTTGAAATTTGTTCTAGAATGTAGAGTACTATATTTCTTAGCGGATTAATTCAACCTTGTACGTGTATTAATGTAAATTTAATACATGCCATAATGAAATAATTTTTGGCTGTGTTTTGGAGTTAGTCAGGAGAAGAACGCTTTTAAAATGGTTTCCATCATTTGTAAAAAGTATATAAATCTGTTTAATTGGTCTTTGCCTCTTTTTGCAATCCGATCCAAAAGAAGACTCATTCCAGTGGGTTGGTCTGATTTGCTGTCTGATAATGAAGTAGTATTATTGATTCGTTGTTGCTGTTTTTAGTATGAAAATGACAGTGGTGAATTACGATTTAGAGAAGGTGAGGTTTTTTTTATATAATGAGAACCTTGTGGCCAGGACTCATAGCTGGGCTGTCATACTTTAATTTTTCGTGTGGGGTTCGAGAGGGAAAGATAATCAGAGGCATGAAGTGAACTGGTCAAATTTGTCTCTCCAAACTTGAATTTTTTGCCCTTGTTTAGTTTGCTCCATTGTTTTAGTGGGTCAGCCAAGGTTCATGTTTACGATCGACATCCAAATTACATAAACTTGGTAATGTTGTGATTAAATAGTTCAGTCAATTAATTAATAATTAATCATGTGTCGATTCAATCATTCAGTCACCTATACCGTTTTTTAAATTCCTATCGCATTTGATCCGTTTGTTTGACATGAATGCTAAAGAAAGAAAAGAAGAAAAAAAAAAAAAAACTGCAGGAATACAAAGGATGTCACATTAATAGCAGAATTGTAGGAATTCAGTTGTGACAAGATTCTCAAGAACATTCGAAGAAATTCTGTTGTGATGATACGGAATTGTCCTGGAGATATAAGGGTTTTTTTTTTTCTTTTTTTGAAAAAGTGATACAGGTATTAAACAAAAAAAAAAAAACGAATGGTGATTTGTGACTGTTGTGACTTTTTGGGTATATAACCCCTGTATCTGAAGTCAATTTCTGATTAGCTAGATCCGAGCAGAGCATTGTGACAGCAGAGAGTCATGGAGGTATCTCACCACTTGGTATTAAACCGTGGTTAGAACACGATATAATTGATGTCTCATATCCACGTAATGTAATCATTTAAGTTACTTAGGCGCTTTGCCTCTTTTATTGCAGTCACATTGTAGTGTATAACTTTCTTTCGTTTCTTTTCCTTCTGAAATTTAAAAATAAAAATGTTAAACTGACAAATACAGTGAAACTTTAATACATTAATAATATTGTAACTATCAAAATTTATTAATTTAGAAAATTATTAAATAGGAGATAAATTTATAATTTATTAGTTTAAAGAGTTTCCTCACAGATAAAAGAACCCTAGGCAAATTATCTAATTTTCATATATCTTTAACATCGAATAAACCAAGTATTGAAACTCTTCTTGATATTAAAACCCAAACTAAGTTCATGTCATCTTCAGGACTTAAAAAAATAAGTATAATAGTTCATACTTTGCTATATATTTATAATTGTTGTACTTTTTTTTGCTTTAGGATAACTATTAATTTATAGTATTATCAGGACCAATAGATATATAAGAAATTTTCTGTATAATCTTATTATTTTATCAATTTTGTTCACTTTAATACTGATTATAAGTTGGACCAAGAAAAAATTATTAGTTTCTCGAAATTATTAATTTATAGATTATTATTAATTTAAGTAGAAGAAGAAAAGATAAACCAGGGAGAAACAAAACCAAGAAGATGCCAATCTATAAAGGAAAATACCATTTACAAAAATGATCAAAGTAGAGAAATAATAATTTGGAAAAGTATCAATGAAAAGAGTCATGTCTCATGTCTCAACAAAAAAAAAAAATTAATTTTGTTGGACCAAAACTCTAGAAAAAAGAAATTGTATTTTCTTTTTTTTTCTCGAGATGAGAGCATATAAAATATTAATCCGAACATGTTTTTCTTATTTTTAACTAAAAAGAAGTGTTATGAAATACTTGTCCAAGCACATTTCTATTTAGACTTTTATCATTTTGTTTTAAAAAATGAAATTGCTTTGAATGGAGGCCTTCAAACTTTTTGTGAAAAAAAAAAAGGGCTTTCCAAAAAAACTTGTCCAGTCCAAATGGAGGCTACAAATTATTTTTGACACTATAAAGAGTTATTTAAGAGTTGACAAATGGTAGAGTTATTGGGTGAAGACAAAAGAGAAGAAGCCAAGTCAAGCCAAAGAGATAAATAGAAAGAAGAAAGAAACATCAAAGCAACTTACTTCTTTGGTGCATAGATCCTTTTTATTTGATCCTTTCTCCCCATTCCCCTGTTCTTGACTTGAACACCAAACTCCGTAATCATCGTTGATTTCATCTGGGTTGGCAAGAATTCAGACAGACATGTGAAGAAATTAAGGAATATTTTGATCATTTTCTTCATCATCATCGTACTATTTATTAAACAAGAAAACTAGGAAGGATTAAGAATTCCAGGTATGGGGATTTGTTTGAGTAGAAATACTTCTTCTTCCCCTGCTGATAACCAAAGCTCCTTCACCAATACTGACCGTCTGAGCTCCGGTATGTATTTCTCATTCCATCATACTCTTTTCAAGTTCTTTAATTAGCTTTTGTAATTGATTCATTCATCCAGCCCAGAAAAAGGACGACTTAAAAAAACTTCCCCTGTTTCTTCTTTCTTCTTTTTGTTGTTTTTTGATGAATGAATTATTAAAATGTTCTAAAGTGTTTTTTGTGATTTGTTGATCATCGGAACAGGGATTTCTCAGGGCAACAATACAACAACATCATCTTCAGGGAGCAGCAGCAATGTCTCAGGGAACAGTGGATTCTCTGCAGCAAGCGGTGGAAGTGAGACGGAAGCTTATCCAAATGGTCAAATCTTGCCACATTCAAACCTAAGGATTTTCTCCTTTGCAGAACTGAAATCCGCCACCAGGAATTTCAGGAATGACACGGTCTTGGGGGAAGGTGGGTTTGGAAAAGTCTACAAAGGTTGGCTGCAGGATGATAAGTCCACCCCAATTGCAGTCAAGAAGTTGAATTCTGAAAGTATGCAAGGTTTTCAAGAATGGCAGGTGTGAACCCATTTCATTCATTCTTCTTTTTTATCTTCAAACTGCAATTATTATTATCATAAATTTCTTCCGGAAAAAATTAATTTTGTAAAAGAAAGAAAAAAAATTCAAAAGATGTAAAGAAATGGATGTTTTTGTGTGTTGCAGTCTGAAGTGAACTTTTTAGGGCGACTTTCTCACCCCAACCTTGTGAAACTACTCGGATATTGTTTGGAGGACAGAGAGTTACTGCTTGTCTACGAGTTTATGCAGAAGGGTAGCTTGGAGAATCACCTTTTCGGGAGTGAGTCATTTTTTTTATCGCATCTACTCCTTTCGTCCCAGAATAAGAGTCTTGTTTATTGTACTAAAACAGTTACACCTTTTTCAAAAAGAATAAAATAAAATGACATAAAATAAAACAGTTCCACTAACATGATTCTTATTTTGAAACACAAGAATTGTTTGGGGTGTTTTTCCCCCATTAAAATGATCAATATCTAAAATGATCAGAAAAAGAGTGTTGTTTATTGTACTAAAACAGTTCCACAAAACCCATTCATTAATGTTTTGGCGGTGTTGCTCAATGCAGGAGGTTCTGCTGTTCAGCCACTTCCATGGGATATAAGGCTGAAGATATCGATCGGAGCAGCGCGAGGTCTGGCGTTCTTGCATGAATCGGAGAGTCTAATTTACCGGGACTTCAAGGCCTCAAACATATTGCTTGATACTGTAAGTTTGGAATCATGTAGGCAGGGCAAAATTCTCTGAACTGTGTTTGTTTGAAACCGAAAAGAATAATTCATTTTTGCTGCATTTTCGTTGTTTTGTTGTTTTCTTTTCACAGAGTTACAATGCCAAAATTTCAGATTTTGGGTTGGCAAAATTAGGTCCATCAGAGAGTAAATCACACGTCACAACTCGCGTTATGGGAACATATGGCTACGCTGCTCCTGAGTACGTTGCAACAGGTAAAGAACTCATTCTACAGTTCATTTTGAGTACTATATTAGGCCGCCAGTTCAAACTGTTTCGGGCGAAGAAGAAAATCAATCAAGGGAAATATGAGTTTGCTAATACCTTTGTTTCATTGATCATCAGGGCATCTGTATGTGAAGAGCGACGTGTATGGTTTTGGGGTCGTGCTGGTTGAAATGCTAACAGGTCTTCGGGCGCTGGACACTAGTCGTCCTGCAGGGCAGCACACTTTAGCCGACTGGATCAAGCCACATTTATCCGACAGGAGAAAGCTAAAGCACATGATGGATTCCCGGTTAGAAGGCAGATATCCATCCAAGGCTTCAGTTCAGATAGCACAACTAGCTCTAACCTGTCTCGAGCCTGAGCCTAAAAACCGCCCGTCCATGAAAGTTGTCGTGGAGACACTGGAGCGCATAGCGTCGGTTAATGAAAAGGCTCGCCAACCTGTTCCCCGTATAAGTAAGATTAATCCTCAGCGACCAGGTAATTTTCGGCATGCTCAGCAGCATCAGTATCATCGTTCTGCTCTGCATCCGAGGAATGGAGGAGGCCATCAGCTTCCCTCCTATCCACTCCCGCAACGCGTATCCTAGTTGCATTGCGTTGCTCTCTTTGGTACTTCCCATCTGAAAGTTTTGGCGTAATAATGACAGGAAGGATGAGAATTTTAGGGCAGGTTTCTAAAATCAGTATAGTTGTTCAGTGTTTTTGTAGAAAATGTGGTGTATTGTTTGTATATTGATGATAAATCGTTAGTTTGCTTCACAATGCAGCAACCTAAAGCTTTCCAAACTAGATTTGTGCCCATCAGTGATTATGTTAAACAATTCATTCAACCATTTTTGTCAAAATGACTTGCAGAAGAGTATAAGCTTCAAGTTTTTTCAACACTGATAAGTGACGAATGGTTAGAGATATGGATAAAAGGGTATCAGCATTCTCACGTGTTTAAAGACTGAAGATCGGGAACACTTCCTCGTATGGATTGAACATATCAATGAAAGACAAATAACAGTTGCAATGTACAGATAGACAGAACAAAATTCTAGTAGTGAAAGTTAAGAGGTATGGAGGAAATCCTGGTCATTAGTTGGTCAGAGTGGTCGGGCTAACAAGATTTGGTTCCACAATCCACACCATTGAATAGAAGTAAGAGCACCATCCAATGCATTGGAATAATCATTACAAACAGAAAATCCATAAGAGAGATATCATAGTTGACGACATACTTGCGTCGAGATAACAGGTGGAAACAAAAGGATCTGCATCATCTACAGTTTGACTTAACTCATCGTGGAGAATTGGAATGTGTACCCGAATTCGGAAAAGATGCAGAGGCAACTTTGACAATACACGGGGCAAAACAACTGAAAATCATGTTACACCATTTTTGACAAGGAAGAAAGTAAAAGCAATTTACCTTCTTTCCCAGGTCTCAGCGTAGATGACTTCGAGAAACCTAGAGGTTCTTGACAAAAGCGACTTCTATACAAATTTTGAAAAGTTAAAGACAGAGAAGCAGGGAAAACAAATGAATCAAGTCTCATGCAGAAGCCACATATACGCAGGCAATTGCTTTCCCCAATTACATATAGCTTGGAACACTTTTTGGGTATTGTGCTTCCCTGCCTCGAGAATACGGCTACCAAAAAAAGGTTGTGTGGTTCATAGCTCCATATCTTAACCCGGAAGTCACAGACACACAGTAATCAAAATCAATTGTAGTGTTACAGACACACAGTAATAGAAATCAATTGTAGAGCCACACAGAAATCAAAATCAATTGTAGTTCTGTCAAAACTATATACCACCTCTTGATCAAAACTCAAAGTATAAACAATCTAGTGGTTATTTCCTTATCCAGTGTTTATTCGTAATCCACCTCTCTCTAGCGATTCTACTTGCATAAATCCAGCTACATAATACACAGAACAAAGACAACACAGATGCCTGCACAAATTTTAGAGCAAATACGCCAACTTTGCAATCTTTTAGGCGGCTCGCCATTCGTCAGCACTTAGCACCGTATTGTCACAACTATGAAGGTACCAGTGAAGGCCGAGGCCAAAGCCAAAGCCCAATTACAGAAGTTAGATGTAAGACCCTGGCCCTTAATGAATGTAACATTGCTCCAAAATCTAGCAGTTTATTAAAAAGATGAGCGGACTAGGAAAATAATAACTTTTTTAACTTCACAACCTAATGCAGAAGATCAGAAACCATTGACAATAATTTTAGTGTCATGTCCAAAATATGAAGAATCTACCATATACGTGGTGCTCATATAGTAAAAGAGAATGACATTGATACTCAGTTGGCCTGAGCTTTGGAAGTCTAAGACGAATCTGCATCCATACTGTTATAGAATTTAGAAACTTCACTCCCGTGTAACTATATACCTCAGTAAATCTACAATACCAACATACTCCCATTATCTGAAATAAACCACAAAGTTCAAAAGTCAGATTTTCTACAGCCCATAATCTTGAGATTTTTTTCCATGCATACAAACTGTTGTTCTGATTCTAGCAGACTTATACACATATTTCAGCAAAATATTCGTTCATAGCTAGTTTTCTGGATTGATTACAAGGAAAACCGCGCTATTCTGCTACAATTTGAAAGCACTCAAAGCAAGCTACAATGATAAGAGCAATGGCAGAATGAATGTATTCTGGTAAACAAAAATTAGTGTACAGACAAACAATGAAAAAATAAACACGAATAAGGCATTCGTTTTATTCAATAAATAGCTTCGTTCAAAATGGCAATGAACACCCAAACCTAAAAAAGTTATAAAGGCAAGCATTATACACAGCTAAAAAGAAACAAACAATTCTAGAGCAAATCCTGCTGTGGTAGATGTACATACAATTCTCCAAATGATAACACAGCAAAGAAGTAAGAATAGGTGACATTCACCATTAGCCAAAATTATGAACAGCAGCTGGGGCACCTAACCAGTCCATTCTCATTGCAATCTGGACATCTCCTTAATTTCCCCTCATCCTCTTCAAATATCTTCCTACTACCATTACAATTCGGGCAAGGCAAAAACCTTGCATCCCCACAACTTTCACAAACAAAACCAGAATCCTTCACAGGAATGCCTTCCAAAAGTTGAGCTAATTCCCCTCCATCATGAAGCAGCCCAACTTCCTCTGCACCACCAATATGCATTCCCTTAATAAAAACTTGTGGCACAGCTGCCACCCCTAGCATACCCTGCAACTCCTTCCTATAGGAAGAATCCATGGATATGTCTCTCTCATCCACACACACATTAAAGCCCCTAAAAATCATCCGCACAAAGCAGCAATCTTCATAAGTCTTCCGAATCCCTCTCAAACTAGTATAATACAAGACAACCTTATTTTCACCTCCTGACAAATAAGCATCACTCTTGGGCCGGAATGAACTATACTTGGGAGGAGGAGGAGACTCCAACGGCTCAATCTTTTCGGGTTGTGACCATTGTTTCACCTCCTTCACCCCAGACTGTTTACTCAGCAACGCTCTCTGATAACTAGATACCACATTGGGATCCAATTTAGCCAACAATGACTCCTCAGACAAATGCTGCCACAATGGCTTAGAATCTGAATGCTCAACAAACTCATAACCCTTTTCCAACTCACTCCCATCCAAATCTTTCTTCAACCCATTGTCAAAAGTCTTTGACTTGGTTCTTTTAGGGGACTTCAAGGTAGGAGATTCAATTACCTCAAAATCAAGCTCATCTAACCCTTCCATGAGCTCCCAAGTATTTATAACCGAGTCTGGGGATAAAGGGTCACCAGAATCACCCATATTTTGAGGTTTAACAATCTGGGCTGTCGAATTTACAAAATCCTGGCGATCAAAATTAGGTTTAGGGGTGTCAATCAGGATAAGAGAACCATAAGTAGTGGATGTAAGAGACACCAAGTGATTAGTATCCCCTTTCCGAATAGGTGGGTGGTGGACTAAAGGGGTACCAAAAGACAGGGTTCTTGAGACAGGGGTCGAGGATGAGAAACTGGAATAAGGAGATTGGGAAAGTGAAGAAGATGAAAAATTTGAGGACTGAATTTGATTCTGTTTTTGATCTCTTGAAACAAAGGCTTCAGAACGAGAAGCAGAACAACCCATGTTTCCAAAGCAAAATTTCCAAATCAAATACTGCTAAAATTGGGATTGTGATAGGCAATTGATTGGATTGAAATATGGAAAGAGAGATGTAGACAAGAGAATTTGGCTTATACCCAGTTGCCCTTTCACAACCTTGATATTGCTTTTCCAACTAGAAAAGAATCAAAAGAAAAGTACTGAAGCAGTAGCTTTTTTTTTTGTGTGTGGTTTGATTCATTAATTGTGCTGGACAACCAGACGATGTAATTATTGCTTTATCTCGCTCCAGCTTTTCATGGTCTTTGAGGTTTGTACTATTCTATGGATAAATTTGGATTTCTGGAAGTAATTTTGATGGAGGTGGCGGTGGGTAGTAGAGTACTGTCGAGGACCAGAAGTATAAATTGACAGTTTTGAGAGATTATTTTTATATAGTAGGAGTGATTTTAAAAGATAAAATTATAGTTTTGATCCTTTACCTTTTAGAGTTACCCTCAATTAGCCTCCATACTTGGGTAAATGTACAAAGAATGGTTTCTCAAAGGGCGTTTGGCTCAAATTCCCCAAGAAGAATGGAAATAGAAGTGATAGTAAGTAGGTGTTCGAAATTGATCATTTGTTTCTCGATTTCCATTTCCATTAACAAACAATGAAAAAGATAATTACCATAGATAACTTATTCTAATCTCTAATTATTTTTTTCTGGAATTTTCCTTTACTAAATTTGTATAAGGTTTTTTGTAAGGAAATAAACTATGATCTCCTATTTAAGGTGGTACTACTTTTATCATTTCAACTTTATGAGTTATATTGTAAAGATAATTTTACCAAAAAAAAAAAAACATAAAAAAATTTGCTTCCTCGAACTTTTCTTATTTTACTTCATTCTTTTTTAAAAAGAATTCGAACTTTACAAATAAATCTATTTAAAGATAAATGAGAAGAAAAGAGGAAAAAAAAATACTTTAAAATGTTAGTATAAAGTCACCAAGTGAAGAGTGGAGATGCAAGTTAACCTATCCCAATTCATAATGAATATGACCAAAAAAAAAAAAAAAATTAGAAAAAAGTTACACATTCAATTAGCTCAAATATAGAGGCCTAGAATGCTAATACTATCATTTTGTTGAAGAAATTTCTGATGGAGCCCGGAGGGAGGAACGCCGGGAACACGGTTTTCAAAACAGTTGACGGTGACAGCTTACTGTACTAAATGAGGTAGTTTTAGGGAAAGTAACTTTTGGTTTAAGATTTCTTTTTTTTTTGGGGGCATACTTATTTGTTATTTGTTGCTTCGTGCTTCCTTGCCATTTTGGATTACCCCACGTTCAATACATTTATTGAGTCAAAACAAATTTTTTTTGGTTAAATGCCATTACTCTAGTTTACCAAAATAAGAAGAAAAACGCGTTTAAGCGAATAGGTCCATAATTAGAAAAATCAAATTAATTGGAAAGACCCAATAAAATTCAATGTGTTTTGTTTCGTAACACCTCTTAATCCATTTCGTATTATAATTTTTACATGCAATTCTTGTAAGAATCCATACTCATAATCGTAAACTCAAAAGGAAACGTGCAAAAAGAAAACGAAGAAAGATCAATCAACACTCAAAGAGACTATTCGTTATGAACATCCAATATGATTGCTTAAGCTAATGGAATCACAATTTCAACAAAAGGGAAAAGATAATTCAGAATTGGCAACATGATGAAAGGGACACTTCCAATTGTTTTTTTCCAGTTGCTTTTTCGGTTACATATTTTTTTGTTGAGATGACATCAGTTTCAAGCATTTTAGGTTATCTTTTCGTTCAAGTGGCTTCTTATTCTAATCAACATCCAGCGAACCAGCATGAGGTAATGGGAGTTTCTAATACAAAAAATGGCAGAGAATATTGCCTATACCCCTCCAGGATTCGGCACAAGCGAATCCTTTTCTTATAAAATTCACTTTTAAAGAAGACAAGCATCAATGTGCTCATATGGGTTTCTTTTCAATGGATTAAAATTTCATTTGTGTACCATTCCCGTTTCTCTGCTATTACAGGACATTCTTCACTGCAAATAAATGTGCAAACTATGACGAATCAGCAGATAAATCTAAGCACTGATTGGCTGAGACAAATGAAGCAACCAATATAGCCTGACAACAAAGTTAGCACCATCTGGTTAATTATGTGACCCAAGGATTATGGCTTGAATATAGAAGTCAAAAGTTCGAAGAAGGGGAAAAAAAAAAGAAAAAGAAAAAAGCAGGAGACAGTAGTAGTACTCAACAGAGTGCCGAAGAGTTGAAATTCTCAATCCTGCCGATTGACAGTTTCATATCTATCTACTGGATTAATCATCAATCGATAATGTGGTGTTGCATAGCATACTCCTGCTTGCATGTTTCAAAATTAACAGAAGTTTTGATCTAAATGTCATAGTACGACCATCATTCCTACCATAGCAGGCAGAGGAGCAGGTCTGCTGTTATATAATCTATCGTCCAGTCTGAGTGGAATGCTCAGATATAAGAGGTTCAAGAAGCTACAGAATAGAAGAGATTTTATATTCCAGTCAATGAATGCAGAATGAAGGATGGACATTCTTACAAATATCCTCAAATAGTCAAGTATTCAAGCTCCATCCCTATTCCCATAAAGATTTGCCATCCAGGACAATTGATTGACCCTTCAACCATGAACGTATTAATATCATAACTGAATGTTTCACGGACAGAGGCTTTATTTAGAAGACAAAAATATTACGTACCAGCATACCCAGGTGCTCTTCAACATTAAAAACCAAAACTTCTAGGCTTGTTCATGAAAGCTTTCATGTCAATTCAGGAAAGTTGGAAAGCTTCCACATTATGGCTTGAATATAGAAGTCAAAGTTCGAAAAAAAAAAAAAAAAGCAGACAGTACCGAGGAGTTGAAATTCTCAATCCTGCCGATTGACAATTTCAAATCTATCTACTGGATTAATCATCAATCGATAATGTGGTGTTGCATAGCATACTCCTACTTGCATGTTTCAAAATTAACAGAAATTTTGATCTAAATGTCATAGTACGACCATGATTCCAACCATAGCAGGCAGAGGAGCAGGTCTGCTGTTATATAATCTATCTTCCAATGCTCAGATATAAGACGTTTAAGAAGCTACAGAATAGAAGAGATTTTATATTCCAGACAATGAATGCAGAACGAAGGACGGACATTTACAAATATCCTCAAATAGTCAAGTATTCAAGCTCCATCCCTATTCCTATAAAGATTTGCCATCCAGGACAATTGATTGACCCGTCAACCATGAACGTAGTATTATCATAACTGAATGTTTCACGTACAGAAGCTTTATTCAGAAGACAAAAATATTACGTACCAGCATACCCAGGTGCTCTTCAACATTAAAAACAAAAAATTCTAGGCTTGTTCATGAAAGACATTGAACATTTAACTTTTAGTTAGGTCTTATGGTATACCTAAATCCATCAAGAAGCTTGCACGTGATTTCTTTTCTAGCATTAAATTGAATGCAAATCATAACAAACCAAATGACGAACAAACTAGAGATTTGCTGTAAATGGTTGTGCGTGGCAGAAATAGACAGACATCGACAGCTGAGGCGATTGAAATTGCTATCAACCTACTCAGCAAAATTTCTAAACACCTAACCGTCTCCCTTGAACCCATTCAGCATGTACAGCCATTTTTATGAAATTCTATTTCGGTTTAAGCGCCATAAGCCCGTAACGAAGTTACTGAATATTACCTTTAACTCTGTCCAACTATACTGATAGATGTTATCATCAGACCAGCAGCATAGCAACATGACTAAAAGCTCCTCTTATGACAACTGATAAATGGAACTGTAACTTTTCTAACCTACTAGTAATGCAAAAGATTGTCTTCAGAAAACAGTCTAACATCAGAGAACATGTACTTTTCACGATATACACCTATGTAACAACTTAAATGCGAAAATCAGAGAGCAACAGAAAGGCATATCATAAAAAATTTCATGGATCTAAGGTCACCCAGATTGACTACAGACTAAGCAAATTTTGAATGGTGCCAGGACTTATATACTGCCGAGACACCTATGAAGTCCCTTATTCCATATATATATTGTAACAATAGCTAATCATCCTTTGCAATATGTGAAATGCTATTGAAGTAATTAACCCAAAAAAAAAACGCGATCAGAGAGAAGCAGAAGCTCATGCAACATCAACAAGAATCTAAAGCAGATTTTCTAAGCCTAAAACTGTTTTATACGTGTGTAAGAAGTATCTCATGTATAATGATATTTACTTATAGATGCCATAATAAAAATTCCTAATCAATTTAAAAAATCAAAACCACAAAAATCTAAGCTTTACGTAACGAAGATAAAGATGAGAATGATACCGAAATCAAATATCATTAACTGGTATCAAACCTTGACCAGAGCTACGTTTGTGAAAAAATAAACATGGGAAAAACTCACTTTTCTATAGAGAAACAGTACGTCTATAAAGTATTTCATCATCACTCTCATCCTCCTCCTCAGATACCATCTCATTTCCAGGCAGCTCCAACTTCCCTCCCATACAAAATGCTGGACCTCTAGTTTCCGCCTCTATGTAATGACCATGCAGTCTTTCTTCGAATCTTTGGTCACTACAGTTGAGAAACCATGCTAAGGAAGATTTTATCCCTTTGCTTTGTAATCTATGGTACCTAGGTTTGATCCTTGACTCCAAACTATAAGTAAAGTAATCTGGAAACTCAATGAGCTCTTGAATTGGCCTATTAATTTCGCTCTTGAAAAAATAGAAGCTATTTTTCATGAGTGCGACTTGTAAAGCAACTAACTGAGGGCACTTTACAATCATTTTTGCCACATCTTCTGCAGAAATACCTCGACCAAGAAGAAAGTCAACAGGTTTCATGATCACATGTTGATTAAGACTCACAATCTGAGGCATTTTCTCAATGACACCAGCAAAACCATCCGGATCAACCTTGAGCTTCAGATTAAAGAAATACTGCTGTGATGACAATTTAGCCTTTAGAGGTAGTCCCAGGATTTGAGGATACTGTGCAATTACTGAAGCAAGTGCTTCCTTCCTAATTCCAAAGCTAATCAAACACTCCACATTTGGTTTCACAGTCTCCTCCAGATCATATCCGAGTATATAAGGACGCTTTTCAAATATTCTCGCGATGATATGTTTTGGTAACCCTAAAGAAACCAAATAATCCACAAGCGGTTTGATCATGGTCCCAACCCTCATACCTAAAAGGTATGGATACTGTGTGACCATAGGCCCAATGTCCCTTGGATGGACCCCAATGCTTACCAAGTAAGCCACTGACGTACTCATTGTTCCCTCAAGCTTGAATCCAAGCAATTCCGGGTACTTCATCAATACATACCCAAGATCAAGCTTCTCAACATCAAGCCCCCTCAAGAACTTAATAACCGGGACGAGCTCTACGACCACACTGGCATGAAGGCACTGCGGATACTTCTTAATAAACTCAGCGAGCTTGGACCTTTGGATCCCAATCTTTTCTAAATACCCCAACACAGGGATTATATTTTTCCTCACACTGCAACCAAGCATCAGCGGATACTCGTTAATATCATCAACCGTCAATCCTATCTTCTGCAGAAACTCGACCCGCTCTCGCATAACCTCAACTGTGGAAGGCAGTTCTAATTCTTCCAATTCATCAGGGACAATACCAATACCCTTCAAATAATCACAAATTATGACCCTTGACACAAGTTTCTCCTTTCTTCCCTGGATTACACCCCATGTAACAGAGGGCATTTCATACTCAGGGAACTTCTTAGCCTGGGTCGAAAAGTACTTAAATAAATGAACCCTTTTTAGGGAACTCAAGACTGCAAGAGGGTTCTGGGAGGGTTTTAGGTGCGTTCCTGAAAATGGGTTTTTTGGGATTTTGAGAATAAGGGCTTTAATTCCTGACTGCCTTCTCAAGAGTAAGCTCATTTCTGCATAAGTAAAATTAATATACAGACTTCAGAAAATCAAAAAATCCTCTAATGTAAACCAAAGAATCCCTGAGAATTTTCTGTGAAGTATGAGCAAAAGCTTACCTTGTAGACTTGAGAAGAGATGAAGAACACGGAAGAAACAGAGGTTCCGCCAATGAATACTCGCAGTCGAACGGCAATAAAATCACAAAACTGAAATCGACTTTTTCCTATGGGCACCAGTCCTTGAACACCCGACCCGGGTTTACTACCCTACATTTGGGCGAATTAGATCCACCTCCCTAAAATTTATGAAAATTATCAATTGATTCGTTAATTTTTAAATACTACCAATTATTTCTTTGACATTAGAGAACATGTAATTACGAGTATTGTAAGAACATGTGAGAAATATGAATTATTTTGTTCCGAGTATTGTCGAAAGTGAATCAGACTAATTGTTAAGTATTTAATCTTTAATTGATGATTTTAATAAACTGTAAGACGGATGGACACAGTTCATATTTTCTTATAATGAACCACAATAAGAAGATGATAGAAAAGCATTTTTTTCGAATCCTTAGTTGGTTATAGACGAAGATTTAGTGAGATGAACAGTGATTACATGTGTTCGATATTGATTCCATTAATAAAACTATATGTTGAACTTTTGCATTATTTTCTGATTTAAGATAATCATATGCATGAATTAATTATTTGATCTTGCAGTATACATAGCATGGAATGAAATTATATAACGAAGAAAGAACGAGGTCTGTTCGATTTTATAGATTTGGGAGTTTGAATTAAAATTGAGAGATGTCATTTCCAATTCCTTTGTTTGATTGAGCAATAGTGAAAGTGGTGTGGAAATGAAATTGTAATCTCTATTGGGGTCATATCCATGATTTAGGTATTTTTTGGGGGCTAATAATTAGTATAATTATACTTCCAGGGGCTCAAAAGAAACTATAACACTCGTTTGTTTCCTCTTCTACTACACCGGCACGAAGGGCACAGCTAGTGACGGCGGAATCAGCGGCGGTGGTCGTCGATATCTGTGGTAGAAATATCGTTAAGAAATCGAATCTTAGCTCAGTTGCCACCGCTACAGCACCATCTTTTCGGAGGTCTCTTTGGAAACTTTTATTCTTTATCTCCTTCCGAGTTCCAACCTCGGAGGTACCATGATATTTCGGTAATTAAGACTCGAATCTTTTTTCCTCCTTTCAAGTTCTGAAATGTGGCAAATGCTTGCTTACATCGTGAATTCGTGATTAACATGGCACGCGGGAGAATTCGGTTTGAATGTAATATATGTGAAAAGCATAATTGATTTAACCCAGTTGAGTTGAATTGTAGTTGTGCAAATGTGATTATGCAAACTTTACCAATTATGAGTTTGAGTATGATTCTCGCTAGTAATTAAGCCTCTCATGTCCATCTAGTTATCTATGACTATGAACGCAAACCTACATCATTGATCCTCTTGCCAGGGTTTTGAAATTCATCATTTGTTGCACTTTAGAGTATTTCTCGACGTATACATATAGTTGGTTGTGGTTTTGATTGTAAGTGTACTTGTTGGGTTACTTTAGCTCAAGCGTAAACATTCTTGATTTATGATATGGGTTTCCATTCCTGGTACCTTCGTGTCGTCTAACTGTCATTGGAATCGCTTTTGACTTCCGTGAACATTTTCATCTGATCGTGCAGTTGTCTGTTTTTGTTACTAGATTTCAACCAGCACATCTGCTTGAATTTGAAGTGAGGACTCAACTTGCATAATTAATTTACTCAAATGTCTTTACGCTTTTGGAGTTTTTATTTTCTTCTTCCTTTCCATGATATTCTATGCTTCCCCAGTGAGCTTGATTATGTATTTGAAGCTTGAATGACTGAAACATCTCATGTGGCACGGGCGTTCTTCATGCAGATGCAGATTGTTTGGTTTTAGAGTTTTATATTCATTTGGATGTGGAAACCAACTAACCGTGCTTCTTGTTTCAGTTTGAATTACCTTATTTGGATTTATGATGTTGTATGGGGCTTTAGTCTACAAGTGAAAAATACTACATAAGTTACTTCTGTTCATTTTAGAGTAGTGCAACTGTAGAATCTGCTACTAAGTACAAATTTTGACTTTTGATTTGTTCAAATTGAAAATAATTTTGCGGGAATTTTTATTAAAGTGTTTGGCATCACCCGTACCTAAAATTTCTTCTACAGAGATTGGTTTAGGAGAAAAGTGGACTGAGAAGGTCAGGAATAAAAACAAGAAGACCAAGGAGAAGTCTAAAAAAGGTAAGAACGATAAGCTGAGAAGCAACTGGATTTTTCAGGCTCAGAACATTGGCAGAGATGGGCGTACTTGATGATTTTGCACTTTCTGATAAAGAAAATGGTGACAAAGGAGATAATGAGAAGAAGAAGAAGAAGAATAAAAAGAAAAAGGCGGACTTTAGGTTAGAAACTGAAGAATGTAATGACGGTTATACCTAGGGGGTTGGAAAGGATAGTGAGAGAGAAGTCAAAACTTGTGGAGAAAAGAAACATGATGCTAATTTTACAACGAAGGTTAAAAGGAAGAAGGGAGAGAATGATAGAAATAGACTCTCTGATGATCAATCGCAAGAGTTAAGTTTCCAGATTGTTGTAGGTGGAGGCATAGGTAGTGAAGGTCCTGATGAGTTGCAGAATGAGAATGGTGATCTAGCAATAGGAATGGGATCTAATAGAATTGCTGTCTTGCTGGAAAATAAAACGGCAAAGGGTAAAACAACCAAGAGCAAATTTGATTTGGGTGCTGAATACCGACAAAAAGAAGGGCTGAAAGCATTTGGTGAAAGCCGTGCTCTGGGAAGTGTTGAGAAGGGAGAGGAGAGTAAGAAGAGGAAGAGACTGAAGGATAGGAGTATACATTCAGAAGGCGAAGGACAAGGGCATGATTTTGATGATCCAGTTGGGAAAATACAGTCAACCTTAGATGTGAGAGATTATGATGAGCTGCTAATAGGGACAAAAGTTGAAGCAATTGTGGAGGATGATGTTTTCATGAAAAATGAGAATAAGAGGAAGAAAAAGAGTAAAACAAGAAAGGCTGATCTAAGTGCAGGAGCTGGTACAGCTGTGACTTTGAAAATGGACAGACATTTAAATTATGAAACCAAAGGTATGAAGGAGAAAGTCAAATCATTCCAGAATGAATTGAAAAATCCGAAAGGAAGAACGGACAAGAAAAGAGTGAGCTTTTCGGGCAAGGATGAAGTTTTCACATTGCCTGAGGACAAGCTGATATGGGGTAAGTGGTTCTCTAAAGAAGAAGATGAAATGATAAAAGCAGCTGTATTTAAGTATATAGAGGCCAATTGTTTAGGTGAAAAAGGTTTAGAGATGGTCTTGAACTGCAAGTCAAACCCCAAGACTAGAAAATGCTGGAACGAAATAGGGAGTGCCTTACCACACAGGCCTCAAAATAGTGTTTATTATCGTGCTCAGAAACTGTTTTGTGAGAATCAAAGGCGTAAATGGACTAAAGAAGAACTTGATCTGTTTGGGAGTTCCATAGGAAACACGGAAACAAGTGGAAGGCTGTGGCTCAAGAACTCGGGAGATTTCATAATCATGTTTGTAATGCTTGGAAAAGAATAAGCCCAGTGAATCTGAAGAAAGGACGTTGGTCACAGGACGAGTACCAATCTTTATTTGATTTAGTCAATCTTGATATGAGAATGAAGTATGCTGATGAGAAAAAGTCCAAGCATGGCATGCTGCGGGATAATGTTCCCTGGACATCAATCAGCAATAAGTTGACAACTCGAGCACAGCATTCCTGCTGTCACAAATGGTACCGCCAGTTAACGTCACCTATGGTTATGAAAGGTGATTGGAAAGATTCTGATGATTATCGTCTGATCGATAAACTTTTTCAGTTGGATTCCACCTGCTTTGACGATGTTGATTGGGACGATCTTCTTGAACACAGGTCCGGTGTCTCATGTCAGAAGCGATGGAAAGAAATGGTCCGGCACATGAGTGAGAGTTCGAAGAAGACCTTTGCTGATCAAGTGAGGTTCTGGCAAAGCGATATGGTCCGGAGTTACTTGAAGCTAGAGAAATATGGGAAAGCAAACCCTATGTTCCCTAGTGTCTCTGTTCCTCCCTAAGGGTACAATTTGACTGTTAGAAGTTCATTGTTGAAATCATAAGGTTATTAGGAAATCTTTCTCGTTGTCATGATTTAGCCAAGAATCCTTGATTGGAAGTTGTGGAAATTTGTTGACGGATTACGAAGAAATTCTTCTCCTGTGGGCTCTCTTCATTTATGCTGACGGACAATGAAGAAATTTTATTATTATCATTTATTAATTTTCTAGGTTATCATTTATGCAATTGTTTTATTAACATTAACTACACTCATATATACTCCTACTAATCCCAAGCGTGAAATCATTGTTTTGTTAAAGTTTACTAGAGGGAATTTACGCGCTTCGCGCATACGTGTGTCATATCACATGGTGAAAAAATTATTAACTGATGTAAAAGCGAACAACAAAACATAATAAAATATTAATATCACAATCCGAAAATAGGTGAACAATAGGACAAAATCAAATGCTTTTCTCACAATTCAAAAAATAAAATAAAATATATCTGAAAATTTCACAAGAAATACATGACACTGATTAAAATGTAATGATAAGGCAGTCACCTCTAATGAGATCGAGATAAAGAGAGGTCATTAAGTATAGAAGGTAGAAACTTAAAAGAAAGAAAAGACAAATGTGGCAAATTTTTTATTGTTGGGAATCATATACTAAAAAATTCAAGAATCAAAACTGTTAGTATTCTTTTTGAGCTATGAAACAATATTTCAAGATATTATTAATAAAGTCTTAACATTCAAAAAAAAAAAGAAAGAAAGAAGAAAAGACAATGAGAATTTAAAGAGGTAAAATTAATTGAAACGTTTTGATGACCGATGAAATCCACCTAATAATGAATATTAATTTGTGTATAATTATTAATTAAAAATAAAGGTAAAAATTATTAATAAAAGGAAATCAAAGGTTGGAATATCAAAAGGTTACCAATCATAACATTTACAACTTTAAATTTTCTTGGACAAAAAGTTTAAAAAAGAAAAACATAAGGCTTAAGGAGATTTATGGGCAGCTTAAATCCACCTAATAATGAATATTAATTTATTTATAATAAAAAATGACTTCAAGAAATAGTTTACAAATAATGTTTTATAAAAGAATACTGAAAAAAAAAAGAATTTAAGTATTTTGTTGCTCCATCTTTCTTGCTTCCCTTCTTAGATTAAATTCATGATAGTTTACCTCGAATTGGTAAATTATTAATGAAAGGTAGTCATAGATAATCATTTCAAGAAATAGTTAATACTTGAAGGACTGCTTCGCGCATACGCTACGTATAATGACTTAGTGTAAATTATATGAAAGAATTTATTTTAATAATTAAAATGGTAAATTACATTACGTCTCATATATTATCTACAAATTATGTTAACAAATTTATCAAGAGTAAAAAGTTTATAGTTTTACATGATGAGAACAAAATGATATCACTAAAACGTGTCACTTTTTATTTCAATAAAAATGATATATAGTATTCTGATTGTGAAAAGAAAAGGGCAAGACCAGTGAGAAATAAAATAAAATCAAGTTTCTGTGTCACCAAAAAAAAAAAAGAGAACAACTTTAAAAAAGAAGAAAAAAAATTCAAAAACAAAACCTAAATTTGCAAAGAAAAAGAGGGAGATGAGCAATGAAAGATGATAACCTCTTATAAACTCGAGATTGAGAGGTAAAAGTAAACATTTCAAAGGAAAAAAAAAATAGAAGTGACTAAATCTTACACTCTTTGGAATATATAAATTTACATTACGTGACTTTTAATATTTTTTTGAGTTACGAAAAAATCTAAACTATCATTGAGAAACCTATTATATTAAAAAAAAAAAAAAGGAAGAAGAAGAAGAAGAGAAGAATAAAATGCATTAGGAATTTAGAGGGGTTAGAATCACCGAAACCGTTTAAAGGCCAATCAAATTTATCTAATAATGAAAAATTATTTTTGCATTGTTAAAAATAAGAATTAATGGTTAGAATCATCAAAATCATTTTTAGACCGATCAAATTCACCTAATAATGAGAAATAATTTCTTTGTAATATTAAAAACAAAAATTAATAGAAGGGAGATCAAATGTCATTATATTGTTTAATAATAAAGGCCATTTATTATTATAAAATTAGATATAAGTGAGTAATTTATTATCATTAAGATAATGAGTAATAAGTGAAATAATAATAAAATAAATAGGAGAAAATGTTTATTCAAAAATGCTTTTGACTAAATTAAATGAGAGGTTATAAAATTGATAACTTGCATGCAAAAACAATTAACTAAATAAATGAGTGGGGAGGACTACCAAACTTTAAAAATTATTCAGCAATTATAATATAATATGATGAAAAAATAAATAATTAAAAAAAAGAAAAAGAAAAGAAAGAGATAGTACCAACCAACTCTATTGATTAGCTAGCACAATTTACAATTTTCTCTCTTAAAACATTTCAACCTTTATTTAGCATTCTAGTAATCCACATAATATATTCCAAGCGGTATAAGAGGGTATAAGAATCTGGGGTAAAAAAGATTTTTTGTTGAATTGAAATAGTTTTGATCTACCAGAAAATCATACAATTCGAATATCTAGCTAAGAGCAGGATGCATCTTGCTGAGGATTACTGATTGTGAGGCAATAATATTTTAACGAAGAATGCAAGTGTAGTTTATTTAACTCTTCCGTCAATTTAAAATAGTTCAGATTTATAGTTTATCACTGTGTAACATTACATTTTATGTGGTCTTCTAAAAATGGTTTAGATTTATAGTTTACGAAGGTAATAGTGATGGCATGAATAGCTATTTTAGCAACAGTTGCTAATTCCTTGGAATTTGACAAGAATTGAATTTCAGGAAAAAGAGGAAAAGCTACATTGTAGGAACTGGTAGACAACTCAGATTACATTACACCTAACTGTATTATTATGACACAAACATGATATTACAAGAAAGAGGAGCCCCAAACAAAAACTCTTCCCTCAACTTCTTTTCAGACAACACTCGTTAGGGAAAGCACTCAAAGGATTGCGGTTTCGGGTCATTTCCAAACAGCTTACAACTTACCGCAAAAACTCTCGAGGATCGGTTACATATCCAGTTAAAGCTGAAGCTGCAGCAGTGTATGGAGAAGCTAAATATATCTGGCCCTCCTTATGACCCATTCGTCCAGGGAAGTTTCTATTTGTCGTAGATACACAAACCTACAATTGGCACAATTTTAAGATTATAAGAAAAAGACTGATGATTCAAACTTAATGACTGCTTCTTTTTCTGCAAACTGACCGGAACAAGATGTATAACAGAGTCAATTCCTCGGGACTGTCAAATCATGATTGGCTGAACAGATCAACTAAATAGTTGAATCTTAAATCAGAAGGCCAATGATATTAGTACCAAGTGTCCTATCCGACTAATGTTCTTAGCCAGAGTCAACGACAAACCGAAAACTACACGTAGGTAACAGAACACATGCTTGTCTGATCTCAACCCAGGATGCAAGTTCATTAAAAAAAATCTCTGTTCTCAGACAGGTAAACGTGGAAACATGTGACTTTGCACGTATATCTCTATCCATAATACTTATAATTATCCATAGCACAATGCATTCATTCCACTTTTCAATCAAAGATCTATCAACAATACACACCTGTGGCTCATTCATGCGTGCATAGGTGTCTCTGGGACCTCCCAAACAAGCACCACAACTAGGACTTGCAGGTGTATCACAACCAGCTTCCTCAAATATCTGAGCACAAGTTTTCCCACCGGATCCAGGGACTGGGAGTGCATATACATCCATCCAAACCTGAATTTGAAATTCATTTCATGAAATTGGCCAAACTCTTAGGCTGGTGTAACAGGAATTTTAAACTAATTAACAAGGCAAAATGATTCAATAAAACAGCAATCACATCATAACAAACCTTTTGGGTAGCAGGGACCAAGAATGTTGGAACCTTGACCTTCTTTCCCTACAAAAAGTTCCAAATGATATTAAAAGGTTTCAGAGCATTGGATAAAAAAATTTCAGGATCCACATAATAGAACTAAAAAATATCTCAGCAAGGCAATACAAGAAACTAAAAAATAATAGAACTATCATGTTACAACATGTATGAAGCTAATTACAAAAAGATATGCAACCCTAGAGACACTCCAACCAACTATATTGACCTAATATGAATTTAGAAAAAGGAAGATTATAAAACTACCACAGGATGCAAAAGCAAATTAGAGAAGGAGATCTTACTGAAGCAAGAAAAACTTTGGCTGCAGCCATAAAATCCTCGGTTTTCCCACCAGTACAAGATCCAATGTACACTCTGTCAATCTTCACATCTTTACATTCTCTTGCCAAAGCGCGATTATCAGGAGAATGAGGCTGAAAAACACAAGGGAACATATTAAAACATGTGAAATAGAGATAACACAAGCAGTAGACTAAAACAGTCATTTATGCAACAAAATCTTCTGGAAACTAGTATTGCCAATTTGCCATCAAGTGTATAAAGCACTTTATAAGGCGACAATATGCAGTTTCCCTAGAATCTTTTTCAATCAATCATTTCACTATTCATAGAAATAGGACACAACCAAAGAACCTCGGGGTCACGAGAGCCAAGCTGTATTTACCTTAGCAACCAGAGGTTCCAGCTTTGAGATGTCGAATCTATACTCCGACAGAAATCTGAGAAGTAGAAATTATGATTAGAAAAAAGGCGGCGTACACTAGGAAAAGGAGATCTCTTAAGAGATTGTTGTCAACTCAATTATGCAATGAACAAATAAATAATGCACTTGAAAGACCAAGGAAATACTAGATAAATCTAAAAGGGGGAAAACAGTAATATAGCACCAAAACATCTTTACCTTGCTTGTCCATCACTGTAAACAGGCTCAAAAGGCACGGACGTCTTATCCTGTTAAAATTGAAAATACAACTGTAAGCCAGGCAGAAAATCCACTTTTCAACTTTTTTTTTTCCTTCCAAAGCAATGATAAGACATGAAATATAGGGCTACCAATACACAAGGAAAAGTACACAGCTTTAAAATAGTGTTGGGTGGCATAAGGACGACTTAGGTTTCATTAATAAAATTCTTGCTAACCTCAAGATACTTGTAAGTTGTGCTGTCTGCTGGAACCACACCATTTTTGCCTCCGGCTTCAACAACCATGTTGCAGAGTGTCATTCTTTCTTCCATCTATCATAGGCAATCCAATAATAACAAAGATGTAATCCATGCTAGAATTGTAATAGCTCTTACTAAGTATAAACATCAACTTTAAAAAAATTAAACGAACTTACAGTCAAACTTTCAACAGTAGTACCAACAAACTCCATTGATTTATATGTAGCACCAGCCACAGATATCTCACCAATAATCTGCCATTTTTAGAAGATTTAGAATTAGATTTTTTTTCCTAAGAAATCCACATTCAGTTTTACAGGTGCTATGAATACAAATCACAATAGGGCATGTCACAGCTCAGTCAACTTACTTGCAAAATTAGATCCTTAGCCAGCAAATAATCAGGCATTTCACCATCCATGACAAACCTCAAAGTAGGCGGCACCTGCAGTATTTTTGGGGAAAACAATAAAAAGTAGATGAGAATAGATAAGAGAACTCAGAGGAACATAAGAGAAGAAAAAAAAAGGCAAAGAACATCACCCTTACATTCAGAAGGATTGGTCATTGCTCCATTAATGTCGAAACAGAAAGAAATCTTAGGAAACCAAAAGCTGCTAGGCAACAGAACAAAGAATTCTGCCAACTTGGATTTACTAATAATGGCAAAAAAAGCATGTCCATGCAACAATCACACGATTCATACCCGTCAGAAGAAAAATGAGCTCTATGATGCCAATGAGCTCATTACATTACTGGCTCAAAGCACAATTATCAGTGACATGTTTGGCCCAAGACTTTCTAATGTAAATATGTGGATGTATGGATTTAAAAAACGGACGAATTCATAGAGGCAGAATACTAATTTTAATCAAGAACAAGAAGGAAGCAGATAGAATCCAAACAACCTTAGCAAAGTGACTATCAGTCATTTTCAAAAGAATAAAACTAATGTCAACAGAAGCTCAAAGCTCAGGTAAAGACAATAGGAGCATCCCAACAACAGACTGTAACATCAAACATTATAACATCGAAAACTGGTAGTCTTCAAGTTCACTTTACACATCTTCAATCAAAGGCCAGAAAACAAATAATCACCTTCAGCAAAAGCTTTCCAGTGCCTAAAACAAAGCCAGCATCAGTATTACCAATTCCAGTAGCAAACTGCCCAAATGCCCCAGCAGTGCAGGTGTGGGAATCTGTACCAAGCAGAACCTGAAGGCAAACAAGCACGGCAAACAAAAGGGAAAATATTTGAGTTAGAGCTGACCAAAAAACAGTTTTTCATCCTCGGAACCTATTCTAATGGGAAAATACAGAATGGACAAACCTCTCCTGGTCTGCAGTGTCCCTCTTGCGCTAAAGCAACATGGCATACACCTTTGTAATCAGGATTAGCCTGCAAAAGGCATGAAAATGTAATCAGGTTAATTTCAATTGTCCGTGTTTGTAACAGATGATTTAACTTACTGTAATAGAAGACATACCTTAAAGTTGCCAAGATCTTTAATATCATAGAAGTACTTAATATTTTGCTCATTGCAGAAATCCCTCAAGATATCCACATTACGGTTCGCCCGTTCATCTGTTGTAAATATGTAGTGGTCAGGTATGATGACAACCTTCTCACGGTCCCAGACCTGGCATACCAAATCATAAAGTAAATGTTCAACATACTATGCCATCCACTGATCCAAGCCACAAAATTCAATGAGAAAGAGATATTGCTAATCCCCAAAAGAGAATAATAAGCAATATAGGAGAAAAACAAACTTTACAATACAGAAGCATCAGGCTAAACATTTCCCATTAATGTTTTATGTATCAAATACTTGGTGCAACAAAAGTCTCTTCCTTTACTTCAATATTACTAGAATTAGTAGGCTATCATGATTTCCCAACCTTTACTCAACATAACATTAGCTTCTAAAAGAAAAATATGTTTCTCCTTTTCACCGTTTTGGGCTGATCTTCTTAGTCGTACAGAAAACTAAATTATTTGAAGCCCTATTGCTCGCCACGTACATTCCGAACTTGCTTTGAATAATTGCTTGAATTAAACTTTCAAACCTCCTAAAATCAAATATTACTTACATAAGACCAAACAAGAGTTTTGTCCATTGTACCTGGAGTTGAAAGAGTCTGCGTTGATAATTTTTAGCTTCGTCCTAATAACGGACTAGATCAAAATGGCTCAAACAAAGTCCAGTGCATCTTATATTAGTGAAGTTGCTGAATTTTAACACATCAAATGAGGAAATGTATCTTGGGTCACAATGAAACAACTATCCGTTGTATAATTACAGGGACAAGGCAGCATACAAATTGACCCCCCAGGCCCCAACTTAGCTGGGAATACACAGGGTATGTTGAGACCAAATAAGTAGAACTCGAAACCTACTATTAGATAGAGGTCATGTTAGACAATTAGAGATACTTGACTGATCCTGAGCATGAGAAATTATGCATTTTCGATGAAATCATAATTGGTGGAACAGAAGTTATTAAAAAAAAAAAGCATTTATAATCTAAAAGGTCTTATCAAGAATCCATGATCCTACCGTCAACATAATATCAGCTTTAAAGGCACTACATCAAAAAGAATTCAGTGTAGTTAAATTCTGTAGAGAGCTCTATAGTTCATTTACAGCATACCTTAGCATCTTCCCCAAACTCTCTCTTGAAAATACCAATAGCACCAGGCCCACAAACATCGTGAGTCATTAAAACATCAACATTAACCCACACATTGTCACCGGGGGTCAACTGAGGTTTCTCAGAGGCTTTTGCCAATATCTTCTCAGTCATAGTCATTCCAGTCTTGACCTAAAGGAAGAAAACATAACGCCAAAACCAACTTAAACATTAACAATTTCCCTACCTATTTCTAATAACAAACAAACAAAAAACAAAAAGAAAAATCAGAGAAAAGGAAAAAAAAAAAACCCAACCGAGCCTGTGGTGGCAGGTTTGCGTTCAGATTGTTGAGGTGCCATCACAGAAACAATCTTCTGAGGGACCCTTTTGGGGGAATTTCTAATAGAAAATGAGCCCCGTGAAGAAAAGGCTGAAAGACCAACATCTTTCTGCATAAAAAACCCACAACAAGATGAAGTCTCAGCTGCATGATTAGGTATAAATTGGCACAAAAAATATAATGCATTCTTGAAGCAAATTCAGCTAATAATCTAATTCAAGATAAAAACACCTTATAAATAAATGATTTAAAAAAAAAAAAAACATTCTTGAAGCAATAGTAAAGCTAATAAACTAACTCAACATAAAAATACCTTAGGAATCAATGGTTAAAAAAAAAAAAAACCATTGAGCAATAAAGCTAATAATAAATTAAGTCAAGATAAACAAATACCTTATGAATCAATCGTGTTGGGGGTGAGGTAATGGCAGTAGACGCCATTCAGACAGGCTCAGCAGAGCTGCAAAAGAAAAACTTTTGTCGTTTAAATGGGTGTGTTTCTATGGAGTTCGCGTTCAGAAAATAGTCCCCACAATTGCTGGATTGGAAAGAAATGATAGGGGCGTGTTTTTAGTATGAGGAATCTCCAAATTTTTTTGATGCAAAAAAGTCGATGGCGGCTGTGTGTTTCCTGGCGTGGAAAGAATGGAGAAGAAGAATCAACCGATTTTAATTTTGGGAGTTATTGCAGTAAACCGCCCCTATTCCTCAACTTATTGCAGAATGGTCATTCGGGTTTTTACCGACTTTTAGGGCTGTCAGTTTGGTCGGTTTCGGAGGTTTAGCCGATATTCGGTTCGGTTTAATCGAATTTTTTCCCTTACAGGAACCGCCCCAAACCGAATCGCAAATTTAGTTCCCCGAACCGAACTGAACCGATTAAGTAATCGGTTTTTCAGGTCAGTGCTCGGTTCAACCGAATTCAAAATAAACTCTAATTGAACCAAAAAAAAAAAAAACAATAATAAAATAAAAATTCTAGAATGCTTACATTGTCATTCATTTCAACACAGTCACTTAATACTGATACTGCTGTGTGGCTAAGTGCACACCTGAACTGAATCAACACACCACATTCAAGTTTAACATTCAACAACACAAAATATACAGACTACATCAATACAATGACATTCAAAGTTCAAACTTGAAACTTGAAACTTCAAAGTCTAAAATCCAAAGTCCAAACTACAAAACATTCAAAATCAGAAGATTTAGAACTGAAATTGTAAAAAAATTCAGTATTCATTTCAGTCATCAAAACAGAAATACTGAAATACACTCATTGAGACTAATGAGTTTTCAATCTGCAACTTCATACTTCATTCTTCAACTTAAATGGATCAACTTAGCAGTCTTCACTCTTCAACTTCAAGTCTTCAAGTGATCAATAGTTCAACAAGTAGCCGGAGTAGGCAATCAGCAAACTGGAACAACTAAACAAGCAAGGCTGCAAATTCAGAAATACAGGAGACTTTCAACATCAACAACTTGGTTGAAGGTTTTCAGGTTATAACAGTGATGAAAAACATGTTTATGTTGCTGAAAAACAAAGTAAAACCTATCAGAATATTAGTTCAGTCAAGCTTGATTAAAAAAAACTCTAGCTCATCCCAGTTTTTTCTTTCCTTTTTCAGTAGCTGAAGAAGAAAGAAACAATTAAGAGGGTGACTGGTATATAGGTGTGATAACTTTTCTATGGGCTTTACCTTCTTTCATTCCAAATAATTGTGTTTGGTTCAATTTTACGGACCCACTTCTTTCATTCTTTAGCCTAGGTTTCATTCCTCACCAAAATGGTGGATTTCGCTTGACTTTGGCCTAATTAACCAAAAGACTTCTATTTTTTCTTTTATTGACTTCATCTGCCCCTCCTCTTCTCTTTGACACCGTCTTCGCAGACACACATAGACAAATCTCATTCTTCTCTTTTCTCGACTCTCCCCTACACATTCATCTCCACCATTCATCATCGCATCTACAATCATCCCCATATTTTTTTTTTTCAAATTGATCCGTGAGAGCAATTCGGAATTGCTATGGTCGCCAAGCTTGAAGTTTTATTCCCGTTGGCATCTTCTCTTACAGATCCAGATGTATCAATTCCTTGTACGGGTTCATAATTTACAAAATTATTGATGCAAATTAACAATTCATCATCGAATTGATGAATAATAAGAAAACCCAGGAAAGAAGGTGCTTGATTTGAGTTTGATTTCCTGTAATTTTGTTTTGTTGGATTTGATTTAGTGGAAAGAAAGCATAACGGCGGCTGGAACAAGGGAGATTAGGAGTAGAGTTTCTTATAGTTGGAAGGATAAACATGTAATTTTATATCAATTCTCATTTTATTGTAAACTCGAACCCAGCACAGAAATCAAAGTTTTGAAACCCTCTACAAACCCATCAAATATGAATCTCATTTTCTTTCATTTCCAAACTCATAATAATTGTTGAACCAGGCACCTCCTAACATTCAAATAATTCAATAAAGAACTGAAAATCATAAATAAATTTAAAATTAACCTTCTTCAATCCATAGGAGATCATCCCAGCTTTCTTCAACATCTTGATCTTCATCTTCAACCAGCACTCAAAGCCAATCTTGTGCACAAATCAGGCACTGAACAGTCTTCGGAGTTAAAGAACTCCGGAATGCGTCCAACACTCTCCCACTAGTACTAAAAATTGATTCAGAAGCTACAGTAGATAAAGGTATGGCAAAAATGTCACGAACCATCAGAGAAAGGATTGGAAAACGAGGGCTGTTCACCTTGCACTAATTTAGGAGGTCAAATGTTTCGCTACCTGGTTCATCATCTTCCTTCAAATATTTTTCAACTCTGATTTCTGATCATTTCTGCCACCAGCTGCTTCATTTTTCTTCTTTAACAACTCCATTCTAAATCTATCTCTAAGGATCTTTGAAGGCTCGATATCAATAGGGAAGGCCTTTTCCCCGATGAAGTAGTTTGAGAAGAAGAATTGGGATTGGAGGAAGGCAAACTATAACTAGTAGGGGGGGCATGGATTCTCACATAATTAGCATATAAATCATACATGGCACTTTGAATCAATTCGTATTTCTGTTTCCCATCAACTTTCCCGTAAACATCAGAAAGTACAACTTCTAAGTAAGTCAGTTTATATCTTGGATCGAAAACACATGCCATACAACGAACAAGGTTCATCTTTGCAACATCACCATAGTATTTATCAAACTTCAGTTTCATCATGTCAGCCATAGCCTTTTGTTCAAAATCCCAACTTTCATTAATGATCTTTTTCAGCAACACATTAATGCAAGTTATATTAGTAAAAAAACCATCAGAAGACACAGATTTTATACGAGATTCCTTCAATGTTATCTCGTAGAAACGCTGAAGCAAACCAGCCACCCTCCTTGCTTCGATCCAATCCAATGAAGTAGGCAGCCCGGGTCCTGAATTTGGCACCTCAGGATCGTGTCTAAGAGTGTCTCTAAAGTGCCGATTAGTAGACTCATATCTCCTAAAGACTTGAGCAGTTTCTAGCATCAAATATGTGCTATTCCATTGTGTACAAACATCTAAGACTAAATTCTTAGAACTATTACACTTCTCGATTTCAGCACATTTTCTAAAACTTGTAATTCTTGTAGGAGACTGCCTAACATACTTAACTGCTACCCTAATCCTTTCTACAGACTTTCCTATATAGTCCAAGCCATGTTTAACTACCAGATTCATAAATGAGCCACACAATGTACATGCAACCATTTAGCACCCAAAAGACATTTTTCACGGTGAGCAAACTGCTCTTTCAAATAATCAATTGCAGAGTCATTAGAACTAGCATTATCAACAGTAATTGTAAACACATCTTCAATTTCCCAATCTAACAAACAATATTCAATTGTAGTTCCAATATCAATACCCTTATGACTTGAAATAGGACAAAATCTTAAGATTCTCCTTTTCAAATTCCAATTATTATCCACATAATGGCCATTAAGACACATGTAATTCACTTGCTGCAAAGAAATCCAACTATCCGTTGTCAAACAGATTCTACTAACATTCCCTTTAATCTCAAACTTCAGTTTTTCCTTCTCAGCTAAATACAACTTATAACAATCATCAGCTACAGTCTGTCTACTATTTGGCACATACAATGGTTGCAATTTTGGCAGAAAATACCAAAACCCTTTTTTCTGAACAACAATAAAAGGAAGCTCATCAATTATGATCATATAGAGAAGTGTCTTAGTAATTTCCTCTTCATTATACTTCCAAGTACCTACAGTTGCTGATTTCCCTTCCCCACCCTCAATAATTAATTTAGTTTGACCAAGATCATGACTAAGAGCCAAGTATTTCTTACAGTTTGCTAAGTGGCCATAAAGACTACTGGTTCCGTGTTTTCTACTTTCAGCCTTATACTTAGAGCCACAGTAATTACAAGCAGCCCACTGATCACCTTTCGCATCAGTAAAAGTAGAAAAATGGGGCCATACCACAGACCTTTTACGAGTGACCCTGCATTGCTTTGGAAGTGGAGGCTTTCGAACAGCAGCTGCTTGACCAACAAGACCTTCACTTATTACCCTTTCCCTCGTTTCAATCTGTACATTGATCATCAGTGCTTGATCATTCGGTAAATCCAGCGGAGGAGAAGGCACTGAACCCTTATCAACCTCAAGGTCCTCAACCTCAAACTCATCAAGATTATCATCAACCTGAGACATCTAAACCAAAAAAAAAGAAAGAAAATCAGTTTACACTTTACAGTTTTCTGTAACACTCCTGCAAACAACTACAAGCTACACAAAATTTCACAAGTTAAAGCAAACATGAACTTACAACAGAAAACTGTACAAAAGTAAAGTAAACCCTAAATAACCAGAACAGATCACGACCAGACCAGTAAACCCTAAACATGCACTTCCAATTGTTGTTTCAAACAGATGAACCAGCTTCAAACAAACCATGTTACAATAAACAATTGCTTCAATATTCAGTAAAGGAAAAAAAAACGCAAAATACTTCTAGGAGGACCATGACAACATCAACATTCAACACGATCATTCAATACAACACCACAGAAGCTCTCCATTCATTCATTACAACACTACAACATTTTACAACACTACAGCATTTTATACGCAACAGCATTTTATCGCAACCGCATTTTCCTAACAAACTTTCAGGTTTGAACTACAATACTAACACCAAAAAAGACAAACAGTTTAAGAGTTTTGACTCTGGGAAAGCATAAATGCCCCTAAACACATGTAATTCAATCTTTGCCTATGAAAGAAAAGTTCCAGTTTCCAGAGTCCTTGAACGTAAATGACGAATCACACCAAGAGTATCAGGCGACAAGGACTAATAGGATTAGAAAAACACAAAAAAGTAAATAAATAAATAAAAATAGCACAAAGCAACAAAACAACCTTCAACCTCAAACCAAACAAAAGGCAAGTCCAAAATGAATGAACACCAACGTTGAACCAACCCAAGAAAATTAGCACGAAGAGAGAAAGAAACTCAAGGAAAATAATATAGAAGAAGGCCAAACAAATACAAAAAGGAGGAACAACACCGAGTTCAAAAGAAAAACTCTTGATCTTACTACTTAATCAACAAAACAGAACAGGATGACCAGGAATGAGCACATAAACTAAGCCAAAC